TGAAAATCGGACAAGAAAGAGGAATGGTGGATGAGCAAAATGGGAGAAATGGTTGATATTTAAAACCAAAAAAAAAATCCCTTGCAACGGACCCTGTTCCCACGTAACGGTCATATATTGTGTGGTGCACATGCTTTGACTGGTCAAAGATGCCAGTTGACCGATTTTTCAGCCAACAAATTTTCCGCGCCACGGGAATTTGTTCCGCGTGACGGGCCCCCCTGCCGCGTCACGGGAAACTGCTCCGCGTAACGGGGACCCGTGCCATGTCACGGGAATCTTTTCGTGACACGGTGGCTTTGTGCCTGCCCTACACAATTATCTGCGAATATTCCTCACATTTTGACTAAAATTACCATTTTACCCCTAGTAAGCATCGAAGTCTATTTTTCAGCATTTTAAACACCTAATATGGTCGGATAATCGATTTGAAGGTGTGAATCATCTGCGGCTCACGTTCGGGGATAATGGAACCATCATATACTTGCAAATTTCAGCAATTGTCGGCTTTCCTCAGGCATGAAAAGCGTTATCGGTGGATTTTTCTTCAAGTATAGAAACCCGCCAAGTCGGCTTTCCTCAGGCATGGAAAGCGTTACCGGTGGATTTTTCTTCAAGTATAGAAAACCGCCAAGTCAGCTTTCCTCAAGTGTGGAAAGCGTTATCGATGGATTTTTCTTCAAGTATAGAAAACCGCCAAATTCCTTTGTCGGCTTTCCTCAAGCATGGAAGGCATTATCGGTGGATTTCTTCAAGCATAGAATGACACCAAATTCATACGTCGACTTTCCTCAAGTATGGAAAGTGTTATACGGTAGGATTCTTCAGGCTTAGAAAACTACCAAACTCCTCAGTTGACTTTCCTCGGGCATGGAAAGCATTTCAACATACGTCATCCGGTGGATTCCTTCAAGCATAGGAAGCTGCCAAACTCATTTGTCACCGATACACTGGTGCCAGATACATATTATATCCTTTACCCTTTTATCTGTAGAACTAACATTTTTCTGCTGGTATCGGTGTATGGAGAGTGATTTAGGATCACAGAACGTCTTAAATCATTCTCCATCCCTATCGGCTACTTTGACTATCGTTTTCGAAACTGACGTTTCTACAAACTCAGTCAAAGTGGGGGCTTCTGTAGACACCTAAAAATGTCTCCCCAAAACCAAACCCGATGATGAACAACCTTTCACCGCCACTATTGGTCGGGTTCAGTATTTAATCCCAAGAGTGCTTAAAAAATCGTATTTGATTAAATTCATATTTTTGAACAGTCCATGGATTAGTCTTGATGTTTGGAAAAAGCATAATTTTTAATTTCAGCCCAAACTTATTATTTAATTTTAGCCCAAACCTTTTTTATTTTATTGTTTTGTTATTTATTTTTGGCCCAAACCTTTTATTTATTTTTATTTAATTATTTTCTTACTTTAACCCAAATGATAATAAGTCAGAAAAGGCCCGAAATTATCAATCGACACTTAAAATGCCGAATGAATTTAGGGTTAAAAATGTATTTAGACGGAAAAAGGGCTGGGAATTCCCGCGCCATGGCAGGTATCTACCGTGTCACGGGAATCATTCCCGTCTGACGGTGGGATTTCCCGTGACACGGGAAGTCTGCCGTGACACGAGAATTTCCATGTCTTTTCCGCGTAAACCCTTAACGCGTTTTCTTTCCCGTTTTCTGAAAATTTCCCGCGTCACACCAAAATTGCACCGTGTCACGGGAATGTTTCCCGTCTGACGGTGGCACTTCCCGTGTCACGGTACAGTTTGCCGTGTCGCGGGATACTTTTTTAGGGTTTTTATCATTTTAGGGTTCCGTGTGCTCCCTCAGCACATTTTCCCTATAAATACCCCCTCATTTCTGATGAACGGGGCAACAATTAATTCTCTAGTTTTTATTTTTCTCTCTTCTATGCTTTAGCCTAAACACTAGCCTACCCTTCTCATTTTAAAAAATTCCTTCTTCAAGTGCTCAAAGGAGTCCATACTTTACTCGTGGTTCTGTCCTTAAACCAAGGCGTGAAAGGTAGAACTATTTGAGGGTTTGGCCCCAAGTCAACTCTACTTTATTTAATTTAATTTAATTATTGTTTTATTATTTCCTTGAAGTTACTAACTCGTTTGTTATTTTGTAGTTACAAACAAACAGAATCAAAGTAAGAATTATGTTCCTTTTATTTCTATTATTTTTCTAACGATTTTATGTTGTTGGAATTGTGGTTAAATTGCTTCCAATAATAATGGTAATTCTATTGTTATTTTGATCACCATATTTCATGTTTAAAGGGAATATGTAATTGAAAATCACGCTTAATAAGATAATTTGGACAACCGGTCTAGGTTCCTTTTTAATCTTGTTAATTAATTCAAGTGATCACAAATATTTTAGAATTATGTGTTGCATTAATATTCAACCAATTTAGCTAAATAATAGTTTGGAGCGAATTGAATATTTTGTTTGCATGCCTTTGAGATCGCATGAATGCTTTTCACTATAAGAATCGAGTAGAGGTCAATACGGGCGAATGTGACTCCATGACTCACTTCGTACCATCATCCCCGATCCTCCTTTCGTGGTTCCGAACCATATGGAGTTAGTAATCTCATGGATAATGAATGGGGTGTAACCTTCACGGGTCAATCGTTGTTGCCTTCGTTGTCCCTTTATCGTGGTTGCCTTAAATGATCCGTGAACGGTTTACAAGTTCCTTAAAAACTTGTTGGCGGCTCCCTACTTTCCTTGTCCCTAATTGTATTATGTCAATTCCCACTTCCTATGAGTGTCAATCATATTCACAACATGCTTTTAACGTAGGCGCACTTCAAACGACGCCTACAGTACCCATTATGGTTGATACCCCAGATCAAATGTTGGTTCAAGTTAGCAAAGCTAAGGAACAAGGGGCTGATTTGGTTGAGCTTCGAATAGATTTTTTGAAGAATTTCAACCCAGATCATGATCTTCAACTTTTGATTAAAAACAGTTCTTTGCCTACTTTGATCACTTTCAGGCAATTTCTAATCTTCGATTGTAATTTTGTTCGGGCATTTTCTGAAAATTTGGTTTTTGGGTTTAGAGTATGAATTTGGGAGTTGTGTAAGTTGATTCATGAAGAATAATTTAATTGTATGATGTTTTATGATTTGGGTATTTAGAATTTTGTGCTTATGAAAACTAGAGTATTGAATATTGAAACTATTGTACATTGTGAATTTTGAGTCAAAAACTTGATTGGAAATGTGATAGTGATATGGTTCTTGAGTCTCGAGAAATATAGAGTGAGATGATGCTTTGGGCAGGGGTGACATTCCCAATATGCAATCTTGTAAAGTTGAGATTGTCAAAGAATGCTATTCTTGTATAAGTAAGAGGGAATCATTTAGACCATCGTCACTCATGGTATAAAAATTTATACCACCCCTCTCTCTCTACCACTTTCTCACTCCTCCACATCATCTATACCACAATACAATATATTTTCTTCAAAAATCACCCCACCCATGGTATAAAAAAAGTTTACCAACACACTTTCTCTCTCCTATATGTATGAATTATACACTTAATTAAATTATAATTATATTTGGTTTTATGTTGAAAATAACTAATACTATTTATAAAGTTAATTAAATAAAATAAGCAATTTAGGTAGAAAAAAGTGAATTTCAAAAATATATAAAACTGTATCAATATGGGTGTCTATGTGTATGTCTTGAAAAATTATGAACAAAAGTAATTTTTTCATAATTTTTGACTTTATAATTTTTTTTCTTAAAATGCAGTTGAAAAAAATAAATAAAAGATGTATGACAACGATGTGACCCGGTTGGTTCATGTTTCACGTGGAACGAAGCAAAAGTTTATCATGGGATGGTATATACCATTTAATGGTATAGTTTTATGCCACCAATGTAGTAAAGATTTGCAGCTTTTGGATGAATATTTACAAATCTGCAAATACGGAGTATTGAATAAGGTTGGTTGAGTCTTTGATAATGATGATGTGTGTGTGCAAGCTATGTAGGGTCCACCTTCATTTACATTAATGAAACCTGCTATGTCAATTATAATGGAGAGTGCAAACCGAATCATTTCAATTACATGCTTAGATGAGGCAGACCTATATGACTTTGACAGTATCATTTCTGCAAAGTGAAAAAATTAGTTCTAACTTCAAATTTGAATGTGTAGTTTGGTTTTCTTTTTCTTAACATCCAAGGAAAAACAATATAATAGTATATTATAAATAGAATTTCGAATTCATAAATCAGGTAGTACAATATAAACTACTTTTTCATAATCATTTATAGTTGTTCATGTGGTATTTAGACCTGCATTGGAAGGAGGTCAGTATGATGGTGATGAAAGCAAGCGAAGAAATGCATTGTACAGAGCCATGGAACTAGGAGCTGACTATATAGATGTCGAGCTTAAGGTTATACTATTCCTTTGTCTTTTGTTTGTTGTAAATCTAAACCTGTATTTTATTAGTTTTCATGTTATTGACAAGTTGATGTGGGAGGTATGTTTAGCGGATTTGCGTAAGTGTAGTATTGTATGCAACAAAACGTGATAATTGTTTATTTGAGAAAAATGGAGTTGCATGTTTAGTACTTCATATATCTCAAGATTCTCAACACTATTGTCTTAAAGATAATGTAAGAGACTTGAGCATCTTTAACTAGGATACACAACGATGTTTTAGATAGATGATCTAATCTGTCCTCATAAGCAAAAAGTAGTCCAAAATTTGCCCATTATCATTTCACCTAAAGAAGGTGTTTGATATTATAATGATGTGGTTTGGTTTGACTAAACTCAAACCATATTTTGACTAATTTTCTTAAGAAAATATTATCATTAGGTTTGTCTCTATGTGAAATATTCAAATATTTTCACTAGTAGAAAAATATAATAAGACACCCCTATAAAGGCACCGGTTCAGGCCAAACCGGTGCCCTAAACCGGCCCAAAATTAGGCGCGATTTTACACAAATAGAAAAGGCACCGGTTCAGCCCAAACCGGTGCCAAAAATAAAAAGAGCACCGGTTTGAACCGGTGCCTTTACGAACTGGTCCATTTAAATATAAAAAAAAACCGCCCTTATAAAAAACCCCCCTAACCCTAATTATCTCAGCCGCGTCTCTCTCCTCTCCTCTCCTCTTTCTCTCTCCTCCTCCTCTTCTTTCTCGCCGATCTACCTCCTTCATTCTTCATCTTTCGCCGATCTACCTCCTCCAACAATTCGAAAACCACCAACAAATCGACGACAACAACATGCAACAAAGATTTTGAGGTTTTTCAATCGATTTCTTGGTTTTTTTTTTAACATTTCAATCGATTTCTGGGTTTTTCGAATTCAATTTTTTTTTTTTTTTCAATTTTTTCGATTTTGATCGATTATTCGAATTTAATAGTTTTTTTCCGATTTTGATTTTGTAAATTTCGATTTCAGGGTTTTGCATTTCGATTTTGTTGTTTAATTTTTTTTTTCTATTTCTCGGTTTTTTTTTCGATTTCTTTTTTGATTGTGTTTTTTCCGATTTTGATTTTGTTTTTCGATTTCAATTTCGATTTCTGGGTTAATTTTCTGTTAAAATAATATATTATTTTGGGTTAATGCATGTGGTGTTAGTGTTTTTATTTTCGTAATTTTTAGGTTTTTTTCCTGGGTTTTTTTTTTTCCATTTCAATTCTATTCTAATTGGGTTTTTTTTTTTTTTTTTTTTTATCGATTTTCATTTTTGATTTTGGATCTCCTGGTTTATTTTATTTTTGATTTCATTTTTATTTTTCGATATCTGGGTTTATTTTTTTTCAGATTCGAATTTTTTTTTTCGATTTTTTTTTTGTTTTCTGGGTTTTTTTTTCGAATACTGGGTTTTTATAATTTATTTTTTTATTTATTTTCTGGGGTTTTTTTTAATCGAGTTTAATTTTATTTATTTTCTGTGTATTTTTATTTATGATTTTCTATTTTGATTTTTATTTTATTCGATTTTTTTTCTGGGTTTTATTTTTATATTTTTATTTTTCGATTTTTCACAGCTTAATTAACTCATTTTAATCAATTTATTTTGGTTGTTATAATTGGTGCAGGTACTTATATCTTAAATTGAAGAATCAAGATGCAAGTATATTGATTTAGATGTTGTATGGGTTTTTTTATTGTAAAGTTGTAAATTTTTATTTTGATTTATATTGTATTTTTTTTTATTCATATGTTGCAATTTTTTTATTTTGATTTATATGTTGTAATTTTTTTTTATTGATTTATACTGTAAATTTTTTTTGATTATATACATATTGAACAGATTTGATTTATATGTTGTGATATTTGATTTATATTTTGTATTCTCATTTCATTTTAGTTTATTTAATTTATAAGAAAAAAAAAATTTGGGCACTTTTGGCACCGGTTAACCAGTGCCAAAAGTTGTGAATTAAAATTTTTTGGTACTTTTTGGCACCGGTTTGAACCGGTGCCTTTTTAAACCCCTTTTTGGCACCCTTCACATTGGCACTGGTTCAAACCGGTGCCTTAGGCCGGGTTTGAACCGGTGCCAAATTCATTTTTTCACGTAGTGTTTATTTTTGCAATTTTTACTAATACATTGTTTAATTTGAATCTTTGTGTTTTCATATGGTTTAATTCTAATAAGATTATAAGAGTAAATAAAACTCTCACTTTTTTTTCCCCTAGTTCAACTTTCATGTTTTCTATTGCACAACTTTGGTAAGAGTATGTGAATAATGCAAAAGGCAAAGTGTAGATTAAAAAGAAAAAAATGGAGGTAGTAAACTCCCAAAATAAGGTAAAGAGAACATTACAAGGTTGATGGATTTATATTTATATATTTATTTGTATTACCCCATTGAGAACCATGATTCACTTTTGAAACCTCAAAGGAAAAGTAGAAATAGAATTTATTTATTTCTTGGACCTCTATTGTGATTATCTTACATAAAACATATGCAAAGGGAATTATACACTTTTTCTGACTTTACAATTTTACATGGTATATGCCACTATGTTTATGGTTATTTCAATATAATGCTTATTAAAGAGCTATCGTGTCTCCTTTAGGTCTTGACTCAAATCTCACCAATCACCAATAGGATTTGATTAGAATGAATCTTAGGTTTTTATTGCACAAGTATGGCATTTATGTATAATGGTTTTCATTAACTAACATGGGTATTTGTTACCCTACGTTGTTCGTATTTAAATGATGGGACTTGAATTTTTGAAAATAAGTCGGTATCTCATCATTTTCCTCTTGTAGGTAGCGGATGAGTTCTTTGACTCTTTTGGTGGAAAGAAGCCTTCAAGGACCGCAATTATTGTCTCCTCTCATAACTATCAAAGCACACCATCACTTGAAGAGATAGGAAATCTTGTATCAAGGATACAAGCAACTGGAGCTGACATTGTAAAGATTGCAACAACCGCTACAGATATTACAGATTGTGCACGTATTCTTCAAGTACTCACACATTCTCAGGTGTGAAAAAAAAAGGCCAATGATTTATGTAGAATTGTAGATAATATCTGTCATATAATTTGGAAGGAGATCACCGATCAAACTTACATCTTTTAACATGATGCCCTAAGTTCAATTTTCATGCAGGCAACTGGGGGGGTGTTTGAAGTATGCCTTAGTACAAGGTTTCTGATTCGTACAAAATAATTTGAAGCATAATTTTTTACTATAAAATTGTACAAAAGTGGGACTATTGAGTATTTGATTGAATTTTACATTTACATTTCCAGGTTCCAATGATTGGACTTGTTATGCGTGAGCAAGGATTGATGTCAAGGATACTTTTTGAAGACGTATTCTTCTACTGATTTTGCTGGATTCAGGTACCACTACCTTTCAAATTACTCATTGACTACTATTATAGTTTATGTAAGTTCCAAGACTGCTAACCCCACATGTCTCATGTACACTTGGGAAATTTTTTTGTAGACGTCTATATCCCTACAGTTTCTTACAAAATTTCATAATTAGCCAATCAGATTTCAGCACACCATTTGTGATATTTTGTGACAGTGGCAGATGTCAATACTAGTTAATGTAAAGTTACTTATTCATTTAATTAGCTTGTGATATTATGTCATCCTTTTGCTATTGGAAATAGCATATTTATTGTATCATTATATTTCCTAGATAACAAGTAAACAGAGTTCTATTGCTATTTCATACTACGCTACATTTTCATTCGATGATGCATATTGTGCAGTGTCACACTACCTCACAAGATGGCTGCACTTGAGTGCTCTGAAGAGGTTGATCCCATAGCTAAGGTATAGCAACTCTTTGCTTTGATTTTGTGAATGAGCTTTGTTCGTACTATAATTTCCACGGTCATTGATCGGAAACTTTGAGAGCTTCAAAGTGGACGAGCTCCTCCTTTTTTCCTTTCCTCTTCTTATGGACTTCTTTCTTCGCATGGTCATCAATGTGCAACTGTCTGGTTAATGTTATATTTTTATGATCTACTAAGTTCGTCTTCTATGGAGGTAGGTATAGGTGAGGACTACACAGATTCATCATTTCAAAATCTGGTTTGGTGTAGGCATTGTTCTCTCCACCTATATTTCTCTCATTATATCTTATCTTATTAGTCCCGAACTTGTATAATCTGAACTAATTAACCCTTATTTTATACGAATTATTATTTTATTTGAACTAATGAATCCTTATCTTATTTTATCTTATCATATTAGGCATTGTAGGTGTTATTAGACCTTTTTAGAACCTATTAACCTATATCTTATCTGAACTTATTAGCCTTTATCTTATATTATTACAACTAATCTGAATTTATTAGCAGTATCTTATTAGAACTAATTTGAACTTTTTAAATTAAGTCAAAAAGCTATCAGTCTTGATGAATTAGACGACTTTGCTCCAGAAGAGGGGATGATTCTTGTAAATACTACATCTGTTGGGATGAAACCAAAAATATCCGAAACACCTATTTCTAAGGTTCAGGCCTCTCCTTTTTCTTATGCATTTTCCCCTTTAATTACATATGCTATTTCAAGTATTCTTAAAATAATTAAATTGTGATTATTTGTGTACCGTTTCAGTCAAAGGATTACTATGGTTGTGGTAACAATATTTAATTGTGATTATTTGTGTTAATTGTTGTAGAGTTTAGATGTAGCATATGGCGAGAACCATCCCAAGGATGCTAAGGATAGCAATGGCCCTTTGTCTATGAGTGAGGTATAATAATGTTTATTATAATGTTCTTATATTGTTCTACCTTTATTCTGTTTATTTTAATCTTTTATAATGGAGTTGTATATTGTTTAAATCCATGTTAGGGTTTTGTTCATGAGTTTGTTCAACCTCGTGGATATGACTATAACACGAGGCGGAGGAGGCATGGTGCTCCAAAAAACTCAATTCCAAATCAAGTAAAACGGAAAAAAACGTTGTTCTCGATCGTCCTCTGAAGCAGGCCTTGTGGCCTCTGAATCAAGCAACTCCAATACTCATGTGCCATGTGCTGAAGAACCTCACCTCTGTCATGTTATTTCTGCTCGTGATGTTTGTTCATTGAATTGGTTGGTAACCATGCTAATTAGTATGTACATGTTTTTTATTGTGTGTTTGTTTTAGCTGATTTTGCTCTCCCTCTGATCTCAATTGAAGGACCATATCTTCAGATTTGGTGTGTCTATTAACTCGACTTGTTACATGGGTAATGTTAAAGCAAACTCAATTGTCATAATACCTTTTTTTTTACATGTCACCACGCTTATGGTTTTTTTAAACAGTTTCATAATGTACGTATTGGAGTACGGGAAGGTTGTACTGTTGTGAGAATGCCTCTTAGTGCTCAGGTTTGTTGTTGTCCTTAGCATTAATGTTTAGAAGATATTCTATTTGTTTGAAGAGCACTTACTCATTCTGCTGTTTATGCAGACTGTAGAGTTCTGTGGTGGTGCTTATGGATTTCAACTGCTTTTACATAGCCTAAACAACTTTCTCCAATCTCCGTATAGTCAGTTTTTGGCAATTGTTGCACAGGGTAGTTTTTGATTGTTTTGTCACATTTTGGTCAGAAAATTGGTTGATTTGGACAAATCTGATTGAAACTTATGGAACAGTTGCATGATGGAGAAGTTGGAAGAAGTTGTACTTGGCTTGTTGCAAAATCAAGAACGCTAACAATAAATGGAGAGCCTACTGAGTTGTGTGTCTTGCGAGCTGACTATCCATCACCGTCCCTTCATGTTATAAAGAGCCTTGTAAGTCTATTAATGGTGTCATGTGTCTTTATAGGAGGATGATATTGGAATTAGGGGTGAAAGTTCGGTTTTCGGTTTGGTTTATAGGCCAAACCGAAACCGAACCACCCTAATTCGGTTTTTGGTTTTTGGAAACCAAACCGCACCACTTTACTTTTGAAACCAAACCAAACCAAACCATATAAATTTCGGTTTCAAAAGAAAAAACCGAACCAAACCGATTTTTTTTTGGGCCTTGTTTATTTGGGCTTTAATCTGAAATTTTTGTGGGCTTAAATCATATAAATGTTATATTCATCAACATATGTAGTAGCATAAATGCTTAATGAGATTTAAACAACATTAACAAGTTCTAAAACTTCAAAGTTATAATTCAAAGTTTTAAAAGTTCAACACTTCATCCAAAAATAAATAAAATTGTTCAACATTACAACTTTAACAATTGTTTAACAGCAGTAGCAACAAGCAGCATAGACCAAGTTCTAAAAGGCAGTAAAAAAATTGTTTAACAGCAGTAGCAACAAGCAGCAGGGCAGCAGCAGCATCATAACAGCAGGTCAGCAGCAAAAGCAGGTCAACACTCAGCAGCATAGACTAAGGCAGTAGCAGTGATAGAGCAAGGCAGTAGCAAGTCTGGCAAGTGGCAACAGCAAGTCAGCAATGAGCAATGAGCCACATCAGTCTATTATTTCAAGCACTTCATCAATATCAGCATCACCAACTGCCATATTCTTCAAGTCTATCATAATTCATAACAAAAATAACCAAGTTAAAATATATACACATAATGAAAATAAGTAACTTATGATTAGATGTTCTTATATATTACCCTCTTCAAGAAGCTCAACTTCCTCTAAAAATTCTTCAATACTTGGAAATGGTGAAGCACGTAACCAATTTTGAGCACAAACAAGACCTTCTACAACTCGAGGAGTTAATGAGCTCCTAAACTGATCTAGAACCCTGCCCCCAGTGCTGAATGCACTCTCAGAAGCTACTGTCGAAACAGGGACAACAAGAACATCACGGGCAATTCTCCCCACAGTAGGAAACCTTGAACAATTGAACTTCCACCAGCTCAAAATGTCAAATTCATCAATATCCTCCGCTGTATCCTCCTCCAAATATTTGTCTAACTCTATTTTTGCATCTCCATCTCTCTCACACTTGTGTTTCTTATACTTACTCTTTAAGACTTCAATCTTTTTATGTTTGGGACTCAATGGAGTTTTGCCATCCTTACTTGAAGACACTTCCTCCCTATTCACATCATTACCAGAAGAAACACGATACTCCTCATACAAAGCATTCAAAGCTACCTTCACATTATCAACTAACTTTGATGCAACAATAGGGTCATAAATTTCAGTTATCATCCACTCAACATAATCAAGCTTATAACGAGGATCAAGGACAACGGCAATAAAAATCAGGAGGTTTATTTTTTCTGGATCACCCCAATACTTTTAATATTTTTCTTTCATTCTACAAGCCATAAGACACATATCCACATCATCACTTGAAACCAAATCTTTCATAAGTACAGCAACACTCACCAATTCATGAAAAAACAAATTCAAACTGACATATAAAGAGCCAGAGACATGCAAGGTCAGATCATAAAAGGCTTGTAGAAATTCAGAAAGTCTTCTTACATTATTCCAATCATCAGAATCTTGGCTACCCTTACCATCCCTCTCATTCAAATCAACTACATAGTGAGGGTCTTCCCCAGAATACCTCTCAAAAGCATCTTGAAGCTCAATAGCAGCATTCAACATCAAATAGGTGGAGTTCCATCTAGTAGGCACATCAAGGCACAATCCCTTTTTTGTGTTGATTTTTTCATCTAAGACACATTTTTTAAACCTTTGCAACCTAGCAGGAGATTGTTTGATAAACCTAACAGCATGCCTAACACGTTGAACCGACTCATTAACAGTTTTCAACCCATCAGAAACAACCAAATTGACAATGTGTGCAACACAACGCATGTGAAGGAAACGACCCTTAAGAACCCCCAGTTTTCCACCCATTTATTTTCCTTCTCATATACCCAATTGCAGTATCATTTGAGCTAGCATTATCAACTGTTATGCACATGACATTTTCAAGCCCCCAATCAAGCAAACACTTTTCAATTTCTTTGCCAATATCATCACCCTTATGACTAGAAATAGGACAAAAATTCAGAATTCTTTTGTGTAATTTCCAATTATTATCAATAAAGTGGACAGTCAAGCACATGTAATTGATTTGTTGTATAGAGGTCCATGTATCAGTGGTTAAAGAAACTCTTGAATTACACCTTTTTAACACATTTTTCAGCTTTCGTTTTTCAGTTAAATATGTTTCAAAACAATCTTTGGCTACTGTAATTCGAGAAGGAACATTAAATCTAGGCTCTATTACACCACAAAAATGTCTAAAACCTATACCTTCAACAAACTTAAATGGAAGTTCATCAACAATCACCATAAATGACAAAGCTTTTCTAATACTACCAGCATCAAATTTGTGGTATGTCAACCCACTAGTACCACCACTTGGTTCTTTAGCACTTTTAAATGAAAGCAAACTTTGTTTTGAATCTTTAGGGGTGTTAAAGGGATACTTACGACATCGCGAAATATGAGCCCATAACACACTAGTGCTGTTTTTCTTTGCCCCACACTTGTAGCTCATCCCACAATACTTGCAAATTGCGTGCATTCCAGAAGGTAAGTCTTCTTTATCAAAGTGCTCCCAAACTTCAGAGCGTTCTTTCATCCTCTTCCTTTTTGCTCCCTGTTCTTTTTTCTGATTTTGAGAGACTTGGTCAGTCTCATGTTCGGATTGAGGCTAGTCAGGAACACCACCCACGTTGGTTGTCATTCAATAATTCGTGGTTGAATAACAATCTGTAAGAATACATGCAAACTCATAAATTAAGAATATTGGATCTTTTAAAGGGAATAATAATTATACCCCTAATAAACAAAATCAGTAGTAACTGGCTAACTGCACCAAAGACAATAACAATTTAGCAATAATAATTAGCCCCCTAAGATTCCACCCCACCACCCAAAAACAATCAAATTAAGCACTAACTGACTAACTGTACCCAAAACAAGTAAAATCAAAATTAACAATAATAACAAAGATCAACAATCTAATAAACACTTATCAAGACAATGATAATGCTATTAATCATGCGAACCCTTGAATTAATAACTAACTAATAATCTGAAACAATCTTCAACAGAGTCCAATCGAATAGAGCTTCAAAATACCAGAAAATTCAGAATGTTTTACTAGACCAAAACCCTAATCAGAATGTTTTACTAGACCAAAACCCAAAATACCCTTGAATAGACCAAAACCCCGAAGCATCAAAATACCAGAAAATTCAGAATGTTTTACTAATTTGTACAGAATAGAAAATTCAGAAACAACATCGCAATATGAACATCAAGCATAGATTAAAACCCTAATAAGAATGTTTAACAAATTTGTACATGTAATTTGCAGATTTTCGTAATTAACATTTAACACTAATCATAATTAAAACCCTAAAAAATATGAACATCAAGCATAATCAAAACTTAAAAGCATACCTTTGGACGGTGGACGGTGTCACAGTGAACGCCTGAACGAGTGCGCTGTGCCGGTGAACGATGGAGAATTGGAGAGTGAGAATTCTGAGAAACACAAAAGAGATGATTGAGAAACTGAGAAAGTGAGGGTGAGAGACTGAGAAATTCGCAATGAGGGTAGGGTAAGAGGCGAGGAACTGAGGAAGTCAGGAGAGAGAATCAGAGAATGAGGGTTAGGGTTTTTTTTTCCTTATATACTTAGGGTAAATCTGCCAATCTGGGCCTAAATTTCGGTTTTCGGTTTTTTTCGGTTTTCCATTTCCTCAAACCGAAACCAAACCGAAAACCGAAATATTTTTTTTAAAAAAACCGAACCGAACCACTTCAAAAAAAAAACCGAACCATATTTCTTATTCGGTTCGGTTTTCGGTTCGGTTCGGTTTTAACCCGAATTTGTTTCACCCCTAATTGGAATGCATTATGAATGAATGTGTTTTATTTTTCAGGGAGGAGCTTCAAAAGAATTGTTTGCTGCTATTTATGAGGAATGGTTCAAACAGCTCCCATGTAAATTCCTTGTACTAGCTAAATAAGTTCTTCAAAAGAATGGCATTTTTCTGTCTTGTTTTATAGAATACTATGTTTATTTGTGTTGTATTTGTTGTTGGTCTATCCATTCAATGAGTCCACATAAATTTATGGGGTGCACCAAATTATAGGTTACATATTTGGACTGTCATGTTACATATTTGGACTGCCCAAATTATAGGTAGTTTTGACCAAATTTGGACTGGCCTGTTACATATTTAGACTGGGCTGTTACATATTTGGACTGGCCTGTTACATATTTGGACTGCCCAAATTATAAGTACTTTTGACCAGATTCATTCTATGTCAAAGAAAATAAGAAAATAGATTTTGAAAAATAATCTTGACTAAATCTGACCAGTGATTGACTAAAATCTGATATAATTTAGTGTGACCTTTTTTAGTTTATTTAGCATGAAATTTTTTTTTATATTAATCTTAAAATATTGATAAACCAAAAAATAATGACAAGGATTCCATAAAAATTACCAAATTTATTTTACGAAAAAGTTCATATTATAACCCTCCAAAATTAATATAAATCTTAATTTTTGTATTTTAATTTTTTGATTTTTTAATTCGACCAAAATTCATTCAACTAATACTATTATAGTAATTCATAACACACAATGGCAATTACATTGCCTTAATTCATATATTAAACAAAGTACTAGACTCACATAAGTCTTAGTTAATACAAACCGTCTACATACGAATTACATAAACTAAAAACGATAATAATTAAGACAAATCAGTAGCAGCAACACTTTTTTTGAAATAGCCTTTGAAATAACACGTCCCGCAACAGCAACAGATCCTAGGCATGAGCACCAACGGGAGCTGAAGAACCACTTCCCTCGCCAGCAGCGGCATCCAAAGAACCACTTCCCTCGCCAGCAGCGGCGGATGCAGCAGGCTACATGATTATAGATCACACAAAATAATTAGTACTAGGCAACAATTAGATTACAATTTATATTAAAAAGTAAAAAAAGGGAAAATTATAGAGTACACTTACCATAAGAACACCCAGGACCCTCAAAGGGCAATCCCCCATTGCAGCAACAACAAACTCTCCCAAAGAAACCTTTCTTTCATTCCAAATCACAGCCACGCCACCACATATCCCAATACTCTCGTCAAGGGACCAGTCAACGTCGTTTCCTAGAACCTTAACAGCCTCTTCAAAGTTCTTCCTACCAACCCTAAGTTCTGTTATAATGTAAATGATTGGCTTGTGTACAGCAACAACATTAATAAGATTCCCCTTAAATGAAGGACGGATAACACCACGTGCATTCCATACAACAATGCTCGAGCCTAAGTCAAATGATGGACTACCTTTTTTGAAGCTACAGTAAAGTCCAACATCCATGTACCTAAGAAAATGGTCAATCTTAATCCTACCAGCACACGCAGTAATCACTATTTCACTCAATTTGGCATGAAGATAGTACACTTGGAAACCATCACTGTAGCAAGCCAAAGATGTTTCTACCTTTTTAGCAGTTAGGGGGTACACCAGACCTGCTACATCTATGTTCGGGATAGGGTCAATAACACTCTCAATGAAACGAGGAATTACCTCACTAATGAGGCTAATATCATAAGACACATCTACACTATCACCTTTGTTCAGTTTATTAAAAACATCAACAATGTTAATTCTACCAACAATGTCAACTAAATTTGGTAAATGTGCGGGAGCAGGGATACCTGATGGACCAATCATCTGCATTCCATCCAATTTTGATTCCCACGGGCTTTCTGGACTTCGAATGATGTTTCTGATGCATTGATCACTCAGAAGTTGGAGTGTGCCACCTTTTCCCGTAGGGCCAAAGAACATGTATTTGTTGAAGTTCAATTCAGGAACACCAGTGTTGTTGGGATTACGAAAGATAACTTTGTTTGGAGGTGAGGTTACTTGGAAACAACCAGGTGAGTAAACAGGGTTTTTGGGGTCGAATTGCTGTCGAGCCATTGAATGGAGAGTGTAAATATTTCGACTGAGAGGGTAACAAAAAAGAGAATTGGAGCACGGTTTTTGCTCAGGTCAATGTTTCAATTTATACTCACAACATCTTCTTCGTTTTAAAATTAAAATTAAAAAATATGGAAAAAATATAAAAATATTAAAATACAATAAATTAATATACAATAAATAAACTCAAGGTCTAAGGACACTTGTCCACAATTCTTGTTCATGGACAATTTGACACTTGGCTTTTACATATTT